AAAAAAAAAAAAAAAAAAAGGAAAGCAGAACTCTGGCAGACGCTCACTTATTGCGACAAAAGAAAGAAACTGGTGGCACCATCCATGCTGATATTTGCCTCTCACGACACAAACATTTCATCCATTTTGGCAAGCGTGAGCCCAAACCAGCGGAAATGGATGACACCCGTGCTCCCTACCTCCTTGAGTAGTGGGCATGTTGAGCGTGACAATCTTGCTGTTAGCGGGCAGCGGGAGTTTGGCAGCGAGGACCTGGCCAGCCACAGTCACTGGGCTGCCAGCGATCTGGAAGGTTTGCCCTGAGGTGGTGATGCTGCTAGCCACGGTGGCCACCGAGCCACAGGAGGCTGCAAGACACACCACGCCACCTGCGGTCATGCACACCCACAAGCGCCACGACAAATGCCAGTCTACAGCTGTGGTGTCCACTGGAAGGTTCTATTATTACTTCTGCCAAGGAGAATATGTTTCTGTTGCGGTTTGTCTTTGTGTCTGCTTTTCTTGTCTGTCAGCAGGATTACGCAAAAACTTTGCAACTGAATTCCATGAAAGTTTGTGGAGGGATGGGACATGACCCCAGAAAGAACCCATTCCCTTTTAGTGCAGATCTGGATAAACAGGCAGATCCAGGATTTTCTTTTTAACTCTAACGTGGTGGCATTGTGTGTTAGCCTTGGCAGAGGTATACGCTCTCCGATGAAACACACATCTTGTGTATCCTTTACAGTGAATCTAACTTTAACAGGACTGAAAGTGGACACCACAAAGTCTCAAAGTCAGTTTGGCAAACCAATCGTATTTACCGGCGTAAAAAAAATGGACACAAAAAAAAAAAAGGTTGAAAAAGATGAAGAGTTGTGCCGATGATTGACCTTTTACAAACTGATGAGGCTTGATGATTTAGAAAAAAGGAAAGGTGGGGGAAAGAAAGTATTTTGTGACAAACCCTGTCTGCCTCTAACGGAACATGATGGATTCCAGGATTTCACATGAGTGTGAGATGATTGCCACAGTTTTCCACCTGCTTACCTGAGCTGCTGTTGTTGGTCTGGCCCTGCTTGACCCAGGAAGCAAACGACTGGTGGAAATTCTTGTCTTGCTGAAAGGAAACTGTTGAGCCCAGTTTGGAGGCGAGGACCATCTTGGTTCCGGGTGTGACCTGACCCGTCCTCAGGCCCGAGGACGCCGGGGTGCTGGGAGTGCCGGTAGCGCTGGCTGAGGTGGTGGCGGCTGTTGTGTTAGAAACAGGTGTACCTGGTCTCTGCTGCTCCAGACGTTTCTGAAACAAAAAGATTTGGGAACGCGTTTAGTTTTAGGTTTATGGAGTTTTAGCGACCTCTCAGGAAACTGAAGCAGCTTAACACTGACAGCCACAGCGTTCCCACCTGCTGGGCAGCCAGTCTGGCCTGTTTCAGCTGATTCTCCAGATGGGCCTTGACGTCCTCTGCAGTCTTCAGGCTGCTGCCAGTCTTGGAGGGATCTGACTTCTCCCTCTCCAACCTGTAACACCAATGGAAAAGTTAAGAATCTGGGCTGTACAGGAAGAATTCAGGATAATATATGTTTTTTTCCCCCCCCACCTCTCTGCAAAGGCCCTGATCTCCCACAGCTCCATCTCTTCTTCGGGCACCCAGGTCTCCACAGCGATAGGCCCGGTGAGCTTGGCCGGCTGCTGCTTCTTGGGCCTCAAGGCACTCGAGCGCAGGCCTTTCCTCTGTGGAGTGGGGGTCTCTGCTCATGTGTAGGGGGAAAACAAAACGCACGACATCAGCACAACTCCCCTTGATCATTCTCTAAATAAAATATCTTACACTGCTGCTGAACGAATGTTACTGCATATACCTTTGGGAGTGTCTCTGTTCCCCAGGGGACAAATGATCTTCCTGATGCAGTACTCTGAGCGGATGCCATACGGCCCCACGTCTCTTCGTTTTATAATCTCTGTCGTGGTGATGTCCGTGTCTGAGGTTTCTTCGGTGAATATAAAACACGGCAGTGCAATTATTTGAAATGGCCCCACTTACATCAGTCAAAATACCAGAGGCTTGTGAAATAGAAAGTTGTGCATTAATGTTACTTCAAAGCCAGAGCCAGAGAAGATGTATAGAGGAGGTGAAACACATTTTCTCACCTTTCCGTGTTACCCCTGCATTAGAAGTCGCTCTGACAGCCATGTCGTCCCACCTCAGGCAGGCCCACAGCAGCCTCAGCATCAGACTGACCCCTGCCAGTGACCTCACAGTCTGGAGGCGGTACCTGAATGCAACACAGGAATATCAAACAGAGCGGGAAAGTTTTTGTTTTTTTTTACTTTTACAAAAGCAAGATTTGGTTTGAGATTCATCAGAAACCGAGCGGTATAGTTAAATGTCATTGAAGCACTCAACTATTTTAAATGTTTATACAAGTAGAAAATAATTTCTAACCGCCCCCCCCAAAAAACTTTGTCTGACTGTGTTACAAACCTCCATGTGATCCCGAAGGTGGGCCGAGGTGAAGGGTAGGGCCATATATCCAGGGCCGGCTTGGCGTTGTAGTTGAAGATGGGCACCTCCCTGATGGCTCCTCTCCTCGCTAGCCTCTTCAGGTCATCGTTTGGCAAGACGAAGATACTCTTCTTGCTGCTCTTGGTAACAAACTTGCGGTAGGACGGCAGGGCGGTGCCCGAACGCGCCTTCTTGGATTTGGAGAACTTCAGGAGGCTGACTCTGTCTCTGGTGGAGTACTCTTTACTGATCGTCATGGAGCTGCCTGCGGCTGAACCAGTCGTTCCCGTCTTGGTGTCGGCGACTGGATGTTTGGTCTTCTGTGAGACGACTGCTACAAGTGCAGAGGCACCGGACTGGGTGGCGGCGGAGGCGGTGACGGAGGAGACTGCGCCACTCGCTGCTTGAGGCGTCCCATCAGGCTTAGTGACGCTGCTGGTTGTCGGGACATTTTGGGACTCCGCAGTCGAACCTTCGCTACCACTGCAGTTGTCGGAGCTGTTGCTTTTCATACAGGAGGGGCTCGAGGATGAAAGCTTGGCAGGTGTTGTTCCCTCACTGTCCACGTCCTCTTTCCTACCGAGAGCGTCTCCTTTCTCCGCCACATGGTTCTCCAATTTGGGGACTTTCAGGGGAGGTGGATGACAGGAGTCAGACACGTCGTTTTGTGAGAGGCCTCCATTCATCAGAGACTTGACGGGCTTGATATCATCTTGGACTGAGTCTGCAGGCGCAGGGACCATAGATTGTCCATTCACCTGCACTGGGCTGCTCTTGTTTTGCTCTACCTCCATGCTCTCTGTGACGCTCTGCCCGCTGACTTTCTCCATCTCCTCGAACCCACGTTTTTTAGGAGTCTCTCCCGCTCGAGTCACCTCGGGCTTCTGTGTCTTCTCTTTATTTTCTATTGCCTCTGATATACAATTGTTACTGTTTGCTAAGGATCCTCCGTTCACCTCTTTATGGGTTAAGACCTCTCCACTGTCGCTCTGCACAGCGTTCACCTCAGTCTGTTTGTTGTGGTTTGTTGACGTGGGTTCTGATTTCACCTCCTCCGTTTTCGCCTCCTGCTCAAAGTCGAGCTTTTTAACCACGTTGTCTTTCATCTGTAAGCTCTCCTCCTTCTCCTCCGCTTTCACACACGGGGTCACAGCCGGCTGCTGTTTGTCTAACTTGGATCCTTCAGTCTTCACCCCTAAATGAGTCTTCGTGGTCGCCATCTTGGACTGCAGGGCCGCCTGCCTCACCCGCTCCAGCCTCTGTTTCTCCTCCAGCGTGAACTGTTTGACCCGGCGCTCCAAGAGCCCGTCCAGTTTGGACGGCTTTACCTTCTTCTTATACGCCGTCCGCAGCTGGAAGCCCTCGCTGACGTTCACAACATCATAGTACGGCTTCGACGCAGCCCTCTCCTCTTCCTTGGGTTGTTCTACACTCTTGACTGCTTCTCCCTTTACAGGCTCCACAGTCGACGAGGACGAGCCTTTGTCTTCAGCTTTATCTGCAACGAAAAGAGTCACACAAATCAGCGGATGATGGAAATCTATAAAGAGCATCAAGGAATATCTAAAAATAAGTGAGGGATCATTTTATTTCCTCCATTTACCATTCTCATCAGTTGAAGCAACAGTTTCTGGGCAGGGCTCAACCTCCATTTTTTCATCTTCTGTCTTCTCCTCCACTTCTTTCTCCTCCACTTCTTTCTCCTCCTTCTTCTCAGCGGGGGTTTCTTCCTCTTTTGAGATCTGAGGTTTGCAGTCCTCCTCTGATGACGTGATCTGAGCTGATGCAATGAGAGACGTTGGCTCCTTGTCCTCATCCGCTGTATCCTGCTTCTCAGCTTCCATCAACTTCTTCTGGTTATTTGTGCAAGCTGCTGCATTTTCCTTCTCTTTCAGTTTAGCTGCTATGATGATGGGGGGAAAAAAAACATGAGTATATGATACCGAATACAAAATATACCGAAAATAAAAGCAGAGCAAAAGCCAGTTCAACTCTTACCCTCTAGTTCTATGCGGTAGTTTGCATTTGTGTTTCCCGGTAGCTTCGGAACAAAACGTGGTACATGGGTCTTACTGACCCAGCTCCAGCCACCATAGCCAGTCACCCTGTACTCCTCCCCCTTCTGCTTCCACACCTACATGGAGAAGAACAACAACTGTATTGTCTGAGGCTACGTCCATTCTAATTCATTCTCATTTTAAAATAAAAACAATCTCAGACAAACCATTTAACACACCTGGAAAAGTAAAACCAGTAGAACCAGAGCAAATGTGACTAAACCACCCTAATCTTTCATTATTTGTATGAAGAAATATTACAAATATCCACTTTCAGACTCTTTTTAATAAAAATTGATGACGATGCTGAAAACCACTGGTCTACATTAGTATGTCTGGACCTCCTCCATGTCCACAGAGGGAGCTGTGATATGTTACCTGATGTTTGATGGGGATGGTGTACTTCACCCAGGTGGCCTGTTGCAGTGTCTCCTCATCCTCCAGTTTTTTCTCTCGCTTCTTCACCTTCTCTTTCTCCTCCCGCTCCATGGAGGTCATGCGATGTAGCCTGAACGTGAGAAAACACAGAATATGTAAGGAACACGAACAGTGCTGAAATGAGAGCGAGGATCCTAACTGCTGCAGAAATCACACCACACGTTAATGTTCACGCAGGTTTCCTGTTTGTTCACCTCGTGTGTCCGAGAGAATCTTTCCACACAGGCAGCATGACCACGGGTTTGATGGCGCACTCCAGTATCGCCAAGGCCAGAGCAAATTCCCTGGCCTTGCTGCACATCTGCACAGCTTTGTTCCAGTTGTTCCTTGAAAATAGAGACACGTGACATTAGACAGCAGGTAAAACAATAGATAACACAACTCAGTAAAGCTCAATTATAAATAAATACAAATACAGGGAATAGAAGGAAACACTTAGCCTGCTTCTGTCCACAGGTATTAAGATCTCACCCATTGACTTAGAGTAAAACTACATACGTTGTGTAGTTGCCTGTCAAACAACCTGACGTGAGCTGTACCTGTGCGATGCCCAGTTAGGATGCATAAATGGTCCGGGCACGTTGGTTTCCAGCTGGATGATGGTGAGACGCAGGGTGGAGACCGTCAGGCTCCGAGAGCCGTAGATGGAGCCGTTCCACTTGAACTCGGACGCGGTGGTCAGGCTGAACTTGTGCGACAGGTGCCGTCTCTTGTCGTGGTCTTCGCGGTGCTGATGTTTGTTGAGGGCCAGGACGTTGGTGCTGTACTGGTTGTGGTAGACCCTGTATTTACCCTCCTGACCCAGCTTGAATAAGCTGTTCAGATTCACCGTCAGGTCCCTTTTCAAGAAGCTGAGTCGCAAAGACCCAACGTCGGAGCGAACAGGGGATGACTGAAACACGACACGAGAGCTTTGCTTGAATAAAATAAACAATATTAGGCGGACACAATTTAGTCAGTAATGAAAAAAAAGTATGAAGGATAGGTGCTGTCTTTTCTTTCATTTTAAAAAGGTTTTGGTAAAACGCATTCGCTCCAAAGTACCAACAGATGATCACCTCTTTGCTGCCTCTGGGCGTTTGGTTATTCACTTCCTGGGCTGCTCCTCTCCCTCCGTCGCTCTGGACCCTTTCGTTATAATCCTCTGTCAATCAGAAAGCAGTGACACTGTCAGTGCAACATCCCTACAAACAGTGTTTATTTACTTTCTGAGCACTAGCAAGCGTCTCATTTTTACCTGCCCCGTCCTGACTGGTGAAAGACGACTGTGAGGACCGATCAACTAGGTCAGGCAGGTCTGGTTTCCCGACGCTCCCAGATGCAGACACCTGGCTGCTGCCGCTACTCGCCTCCGGCTGAGACGAGGGCAGCGGAGGCTGATCTTGAGTTTGTGTCTGTGAGTTGTCACCGATTAACTCTGCTTTCAAGTTCTCATCTAAAAAAAAAACACAGTAGGATTGCAGTTTTAAATACACATTCACAAACTAAATTAAGTTGATATATCTTATTCAGAGTATCACCAGGTTTTAAATCTTGGCTCTCACATTGAACCTACACACTGTTTAAAAACATGAAAAACTTTTTTCGACAATTAAGTGTTCATCTAAGTCTATAGAACCAAACCCAACTTAGAGAAGCCGATTGTGCACTTGCTGCAAAATCCAAATTAAGACTCTAACTCTGCCTTTGTGTTTCAACGGTCGAGTCCTGCATATACAGTACATGCAGCTCTTTGTTGACAAGGTAGCAGGTGGTGCCTCCGGGCAGAGAGCCCTTTGTCCGACCAACAGGAACCCACCCAAAGGCCTATAAATTGGAATGAGAATAAGGGGCTGCTTGTGACAGACGTGGTGTGTGGGCCGCTGCCAAGGACGCCGACCAACCACCGTGCCAAAAGTGTGCTTTTCAAGACCATGAGAGCAGGAGGAGATATGTAACTCGGGACAAGAAAATGCAGCAGAAAAGACTCGATCAGCACAAAGGGAGATGAATGCAACACCTGAAGTTTAGTGCAAGAGTGGGACAAGATGAAAATGACCTGCAACAGCCTCAGGTCTCAGATATTACACCGTCTAATTGGATGTTTACCAAAGATAATGGGAAGGAAAGTTACAAAGGATCAGGCTGATTTTGGATGAGCCACAAAAAAGGAGCCTTTAGAAGCCGGGGCATAAAGGTTTTTGTCCGAAGTGTAATTTATGTTCCAGTAGAAGTCTCTCTCCTCCTTTCAGTGTGTGCCACACATGGAGGCTGGAGAGGAATATGCATCATGGGCAAAACGGGCAGATGCACACAAAACGAAAACAACAACTTTCCATAAACCAGCAGCCAGACAACACAATAAACACAAACAAAGACCAGCCACCAGGTAGAGCGACGCTAAGCTTTGTCCATCGACTCATTAGATCTGTTGCATTTTTTGCCAGCGAACTAGACGTCTTTCAATCAAAGACATTGTAAAATTGCAAACGTGTTCAGATTAGAAAGATCGGGGAAGTTACAGCCAACAAAGGAAGAGGTTGAAGAGAGCAGGGAATCGTGAGCAGCAACCAGTGGAGACAGGCAGACAAAAGAGACAGCAGAGCGGATGTTTGTCAGATTTTGACTAACCTGTTCTTTCCTGCTCTGCCGCTGGAGGAGAGTCTCCACTCTCCTGGCTCCTGGAGTGACCGGGCTCCGTTTCCTCGTTGGTCTCAGTGGATTCTGTTTTAGGCGCAGCGGAGTCCTGGGAAGCTGAGCCGGGGTTCGGATCCGACCTGCAGCTCTCCTCTGCAGCAGGAGGAACCGAGGCCGCTGTGGTGGGACATAAATACACAAGTTTCATTTAATCGGTGAGTCAAGCAAACTTGAAGGACGCTTTAATGATAACGTGAAAGTATAAATGCACCTCAGTAAACAAATCTGGTAAAACTTCCTCCTCAGTCTGCAGCACCATTGGGTCACATACATTAGATTTTGATCTGGGGTTCACTTTTACCTTGAGCATCTTCTCTGGACTCTGGGACTTTGTGCTCGCTGTTTTCGAGCTGTGAGGTGAAGTCGGCAGTGTCTTCCGCCGTTTTAACAGAACCAGATTCTGCTTCCTGCTGTCCCTCCTCTGCTCGCCTCTTCGCCTCCATTCTGACCTTCATATGCTCCATGATTACATCTACAAACCAGATGAAACACGTTTTTTTTTTTTTTTTCAGAATAAACTTTACAGTTCTGTCAACCCAGCAAAAAGAAAGACATTCATCTCTTTGATGAAAAGCTGCATCTCCACCGGCTCAAAGAACAGGAAGTGCTGGGCCGCAGCAGCAGTGGGCTTTTAACTGATGAAAAATACTGGTAATACCCATAAATCAGTTATGCTGGACAAAAAACTAAAATCACTGCAGTGGCTTTACCAAAAACTAAAATTTTCTTCTCACTGCAGAGTACATGTTCAAATCTACAATTTAAAAAAAAAAAACCAACATGCTGCTCTGCGTCATCTGACTTTTGGTGACATACGCAAGAGCGTCAGACACATCAGGAAACCTGTGGAACGCAAACGGAAGCTGCTGACATTGTCGTGAATCTCACCACTCTGGAGGATGTTTGAGGGAGAAAACTGTTGCCATTAGTCTGATAAGAGCGTGAAACAGGAAGAGAAGGCGGCTCCGAACGCATCTGTGCAACCGTCGTGAGAGGAGAGCACCGAGGTCAGAGGGGGGGGACTGAAACCCGGCTGATGAACACGTTCGCTACACAGCCCGAGTCGCACGTGTCCTTATCACCAACAGTCAGATGAATTACTCTACACTGACACCAACGTCACGGTTTGTAATTGTGACTTTTGCAAAATTGGAAAACTTTTTTTTAACTGGCGTTCACTTTGCTTTGTAACATGTAAACATGATATTATCACGGTCGATAGTTGGAACATTGGTGTCCATGGAAACTACAAACTCAAAACTTGGTTACCGTTGACAGCGGTGAGGTAGGCTTTGTTGTTTCCACGGGCTTTGTTGGTGAGGTCCTCTGTGATGTCCATGTGAGCCTGCACTTCCTCCCTCATCTCCTCCAGCGTGGCATGCAGGTCCATCTCCCAGTACTCTTTATCCATGCTCTCAATGAGCTCATCCAGCTGCGCCTTGGTGCTGTAGTACCAGATCTTCTTCTTCTTGTGCTCCCCGTCCTCCTCGCTGGGGGAGTGAGAACAGTGGATAGATATCAGAACCAAAACCACACACACACACACAGCAAGGCACGGTGCAATAGAAATCAACTGAGACGATATAAACAGGTTCACAAATATATATAAATGTATTAATAGTAAAAAAATAACTTTCTTTCCCCAAAATCCACGAATTAATCTCTGGGAGATCCGACTTACACAATAATCCTTCTGTTTAAGAACCAGTATTTCCTCTGGTGCCGGTCATATCCGATGGGCTCCTGGCGGATGTAGGGCCTGATCTTCTGTGCCTCCGCTACACAGTCTGTGACACCGGGCACCTTGTGAGCCACACAAATCTCACACTGCCACTCGTCCTCTGGAACCTCCTCCAGTGGCGGTTTCACGCACTCCAGGTGGTAGACCGCCGAGCAGGTCTCGCAGCACAGCAGGTCACCCAGGCGGTGACACACGCGGCAGTGATCGTCGTACTGCATGCTGCCGTCAGACATCAGCTCCTCGCGGGCGATGTTGGTGGTGAGAAACTGGTCCACCAAGAACTGTAGCACCTTGATCTTACTTTCCGTAGGACCGTAGGGATACTCATCCACCTCCTGGTACGGGAGGACATGCTGGTACTCCCGGTCGCTCTCACAGTACGCACGCAAGACCTCAGGCCACGTCATGCCGTCAATAAAGTACAGAGTGGAGTTGACGCTGTCCTTGAGGTCAGCAGGGCCAAAGGTAGTGTTGGAGGAGTCCTCCTCACGTAGGATGGCCTTCAGGAGGGAAATGTGGGTCTCTGCTATCAAAGTGCACTGCTCCTGGCCGACCAGCGCCGCACAGAAGTCCTCAAAGCGGAAGGGGGAGAGACGCAGCACCGTGCTGAAGTTCCGCAGCACCTCGTAGATGGAGGTGGCGTTGAGCAGCTCCTCGTTAGGCACCAGGAGATCCTCCGAGGTCTCAGGAAGCTCCAGGGGAGGAATCTCCTTCTCCTCCAGGATGGGAGTGCGAGGACGGGGAGCCCGAAGTTTTTTCTTCCCTGTGGCATAAAAAAAAAGTGATATTAGCCAAACAGAACGATGTAACTTTAATCCATACGCTGCGGCAAAGCATTAATATTTTGTTCACGGCCGCAGAGAGACAGACGGACTCTGGAATATCATGTATATTGAAGTACTCGGTGAAAATACTGTGACACACGTTGTAAATATGTGATACCGGGGCTGCAAACGGTTTGACGATTAATTTTCTTCTTCATCGATCAATTGGTTGATCCATTAAAAGCTCCGAAAATTATAAACAACGTGAATCTGTGTTTTTGTTTTTTTTACAAACTGCTCGATGACCTCAAACATCGTGACGAGTTACTGTCATCGAGAGAAACCAGAACCAGCTGAAATCAAACATTTGAGTTTCTTGATAGTTGATTAATATCGAGACAGCTGGTGATTAATTCAGTTGTCTATTACTGATCAATGAATTGTTGTTGACTTTGTGTACATCTCCATCATCAGGTGTTATAAAAGGAGTGAATGAATAAAGTTGTGATTCATGACATGTCTCCATTATAGCAAACTTTAAAATGTTCTTCTTTGGATGTTGACATGAGACATTATTATTATTATTATCATTATAATTATTTCCTCATCAATGCAAACATCAGCTGTTTATCACACATGCACACGTCAGCTGGACAACTTCATCATCACAACTCTCCACTCTCATCACTTCTTCTGATGAACCGAGGGGGGGGGGGTTAGCTTGCAAATGACAGACGTGCTAATCAGGCTAAGTGTGTTAGCGAGCTCTTTCCTCTCCCTCTTGATAATCAACTGAAATAAATAATAACGAGCCCGCGTGTTCACCTCACGAGCCGCGGACGGGCGTGTTATATAAATACGCAGGTTAGCATTTTTTTTTTTTAGCAGCTGTCTCGTCTTCAGGATGACAGAATGAGCTGCTAACCACTAGCTAGCGTTAGCACGCTAGCAGCTAAGCTAGCCGTGGCTGCAGGTGATATTTCCAGGAACGTGGATCAGCGGCGGTTTCGAAACGTGGCCGATTTTAAAAACGTGATTTCGGGAGTTTAGTCCGCGGGGCCGAGCTGCTGGTGGAGCCCCCGGGGATCAAACCACCTGCCGGGGCTTCTCCGAGCAGCACCGCGGCCTGTGTTCGTACACTGTGCGTTCTCCATTTTGAACAATAACCTTCCAGCTTCCTGCACCGATGATAAACAACCAGCGTGTCCCAGCCCCCTGCAAGCGGGGGTCTGGACGCCGGGGCCGCCGCCACCTCGGTGGTATTTACCCGGGGTGCTGGCGTGTGTGCTCTGGCTCCGAAAGCTGCTCTCAGTGCAGTGGCTGGCATCATCCTCCACCTCCTCCTCCTCCTCCACCACCTCCTCCTCGTCCAGCACATCATCTTCCAGGCAGTCGGACTCCTCTTTCAGGGCCTCGTCCTCCTCGGACTGGGGCTCCCCCGCCACGAACTCCTCTTCCTCCTCCGACCTCAGGCTGACGGCGTCGTCCTCGTCCTCGTCGCTCTCGTGGTCGTCGTACACCACCGCCTTGGAGGCAGCCGTCCGCCTCCCTCCGCGACCCCCTCTGCCTCCTCTGCCGCCGCCGCCTCTGCCTCGTCCCCTGCCCCGCGCTGACGTGCCGCCGGGTCCCCCTCTCCTCTTTCGGCTCGGCTTGGCGGGCTCCCGCGTGGGGCTCTCCTCGTCCCCGCTGTCCCGCAGCCTGGGCTTCACGTTCCGCCGCGGTCGCAAGCCCCGGGCCGCGGCCGGGGACGGCTCCTCCTCGGTCGGCAGGGCTTTGGGCGGCCTGCCTCTCTTCCCTCTCATGATCAGCGACTCGCTCTTATTTTACACCCACAGTCGTTGCGCTCGTTTAGCGGACGCCGACGCGAGCGAAAGCGGTACCGCCACGAAGCCGGAGCGGCGCGGATCCAGACGGTGCGGTGGCCCGGTGGTACCCCCGCGTCTCTCCGGGTGTGAAGGCTCAAAACGTTAGCCCGGCGTCCCGTTCGGGTTCGCCCCGAGCCGCCATCTTTCTTCTTCTCTGCCTCTGTGGCTCCACAGGCCCGCACACTGGAGCCGTCACGTGGTGACGCTGCTTCCAGCTCGGGGGCAACAATGAGAAGTGTCTCCACAACACTGCCATGTTTTTAATCATCCCCATCATCATCATCCAGAGATAAAAACACTTTTAACACTTTTAATGCTTTTAATGCACAATCAGTGATCCGACGTGTTGGGATCACGTGTGTACAGCGACTCTCAGCACGTGCGTGTCGACGTGTTATTCGTGAAGTAAAGTAAAAGTTTGCATCGTACGTTTAAATGATTATGACACACACAATTATTTATACACTTAATATAATGATGATGTTACATCTCAAATTATGACCTGAAGCAAAGAGCGACACAGATTAATGAGTCGTTATCTCACAAGATCG